GGGTGTGGGTGTAGGTGTGTGGGTGTGGGTGTAGGTGTGTGGGTGTGGGTGTGGGTGTAGGTGTGTGGGTGTGGGTGTGGGTGTAGGTGTGTGGGTGTGGGTGTGTGGGTGTGGGTGTGGGTGTAGGTGTGTGGGTGTGTGTACTTGTTCTTCATCTTTTGATCCACACCCACTCACACCCACCCACACCCACACCCACTCACGCCTACCCATACCCACACCCACACTCACAACCACACACCCACACCCAAAGCTCGGTTCGTTGACGTTATTTTACCTACTTCAGGAGACGTTTCTGACATGAAAAAAATTTCAAGTATGTTGCCCTACTGGACCAAGAAGAAAAGTAATTAGACCCAAAGACTATCTGGATATTATACATAGACCTCAAAACTTACGAAAAATTATCAGACGACAAATAATCAACATCTAGAAAATAAAAGAACGATTCTTAAATGAGGAGATTCTTCATCTGTTACCTGCCTTTCACTACTGATGAATGATTTTGACTTAAAAAGGTTTCCGTAATTTGATCCATTACACATAGTAATACGCAGTTTTTTATGTTGACTCCGAATATCATATAAAAATACTGCAATAAGAAAAACTCTCGTGGTGTCTACATTTCATCTATACAAAATCTGCCAGTTGACACTTCTAAGAAGTTTGATCGAATGGGAAAGACGCTAAAAAATTTCTGTCGAATATTCCAAGCTAAAATGTTTTGGGAAATGTATGATTGTTCTACGTGCCAATACGAAACTCTCGATATTTTGGTATATCACTGTAGATCTGCTTTTAATTGGTAGTAATACACTGGATTTGTGTCAGAATGTTCTCCTCAACCAGTACTTCTGCTCCTTACCGAGTTATACCGAATGGAGAACCAAAACTCTGGTGAGCCGATTTCTGATCTTTTGTACCCGTCCTGTGGTCCATAAGGAGTCTTATTCGTCTGATTATATCGTTTAAGTTTTAACGAAAACGAAAGTTCTCTTCACAACTTGTAGCTGTTTCAAGAAAACTATCCTGTGGCGTTTTCATAAACCATATACAAGTGTTGATCATTGAGTATGTCGAAACAGAAGCATACGGTGTAGCTGAACCTTTTGGCACATTATGCCTAAAGTGCGAAAGTTTCTTTGCAATTCAAATGAGTGTAAAAGAGAATTGCAGTCACTTTGCAAAAAGTCGAAAATTCCAAGACAGTTGGATAAAATTGGCCATTGTCGGTGGTATTGCTTAGTTTTATGTCGGATGCTAGTCTTTTTTGAATAATCCGATGGCATATTTTGATAGAACGTACATAGTTGCATTGAATGGCTGTAGTCTCACTCGAGCTCAGAGGTCTTCACTACGTTAGGAGTGCAGGAAACAGTGACACTGGGGGTTGTGGAACCCTCATTCTCATCGTATTTTGCTATGAAAAGTACTTGAGGGTCTGCAAAAGTTCTCGTTCACCCGGATTGAAATATAGCGTGAAAAGTTACATCTAACAGACAAATTCACAGACCGTTTTAAGGATAGCTCATGAAAGAGAACAGTCAAAAATCTGGACTTAACTCCTGAAATTCAGGATAAGTTAACATCGTCTTGTGCTTCACCATTACATCTGTACGATTTGTGATAGCAACATTCGTAATCAACGTATCGGACATAGTGTTCCTAGTTGGAAAATTAAATTTTCAAAAAAGGTTTTTTGAAATTCTGTGGAAGGTGGGTAGGTCAAAAATATCGAGGTGGCTTCAAAGCAACTGCCTAACTTGATTTGTTGTCCATATCAACCTTGCTATCAAAACATAGGCAGCTCTCGAAAATATCGGTGGACGAAAAGAAGCATTAAGGCTTTTCATCCTTTTAGTAAATTCATATTTTTAACACCTACACCTATTATTTCAGTGTATAAGTCATTCATTTAAGTTATACTGCGATCATTAGTTTACTGGAAGTATTATTGATGTGACTTACCTATTTGAATTAGTAATTGTGTTAGTCGAAGAGATGTAGTCATTTTATTGTATTCTTTTAATAAAATTGGTTAGTCAAACGTTATCTGGAAACAGATATAAACGGCTAAGTGTAAATAACAGAAGACATGATGGCAATTATCGCATTGATTCATAGTTGTTTAGGATAAATATTGATTATGTGCTGATTAGATTAGTTTTCTGAAAGAGTGTCAGAACTAGATTAATGTGGATTGAATGATTTCATGGATTTTGCCGCAATTTCTGAGCTTATAAGTTAGAACTAAGATGAAGTAATATAATTTGTACGATCAGTATAACTTTATTTTGCCCCGTTGTAATATTGACATTAAAAACAAATACTACGATTTGGGTGTGGGGTGTGGGTCGGGTGGGTGCGGATGCGATGTGGATGAGTAGGAGAAGCAGACCCACATCCATACCCCACACCCACACCGACATCCCATTCACACCCACACCCCTCTTCTGAATTTTCTTTGAAATTCTGTATAGATTATTGCACTTCGTTTATGATTTCCTTTTGAATAAAATTGAGATCATTTCAACAAGTATAGCAGAGTCATAGCCATCTGATGAGTCCCTTAAGCAAGGACGAAATCTGGACCATAGCATGCTTGACACACCCATACCATCCTCCCTGATATCATACAAAATAGTTTGTTTCTTCAACATCTGATTCTCCATACAAGGACCACAAGCAATCCGCTCTTCATTAAGCGACTTTTACAATACCAAAACATCAAAACAACAAATGAAAATCGACTTTTCTCGTCACCCACTAAAACGATGCTAGAAATAAACAAAGTAAAGGTTGCACTCAGTAAAATTAATATTAAAAAAAACACCAAAAATAGAAAACTAAAACAATAAACACACAATACTTCCATTGCTCCCTATTTTCCTTCTACCCGCAACAACCACTAATCTAACAATTCCATTCGTGAATAGCCCAAATTCGAAAAGCTCTTAGCAATCGCTTCAACAGAGCCGACAAATTTTCTCAACAAACCCACAACCACAGAACCAGAATCATACTGCACAAGAATACAATTCAGGAATATTCCACAGAAAAAACATTCACAGTGAAATCTCATGCATCTATACATACCTAAATATAAAAAAACCGTACAAAATGATTCCCTCTTACAGAGATCATTCTCGAACAGATACAGAGTCAAAGCCAGCTAATGATTCTCTTAGCAGAGATGAAATTGCGATAATGGCAGTTAGAATCACCCACACCTACCCAAATTTTTGAAATTGTTTTTCATATTGTTAATTATGAAGTTAACCTTAGATAAAAAGAAAAATCAACAAGCGCTTTATTGGTATTCTTGAGATTTTGATCATCTGTACTCAACTAAATATGATCAACAAAAAAAAAGATAACAAAACCAAATACCGATTTGATGAATCATAAATACATTCTATATTATTTAATTCTCCAGTAATTAAAAATATTTTCTATTTACCTTAAATAACATTATTCCGTACTGTTGTCTTTGCTATCAGCGCAACCTTTTTTTGTTTTATTAACAAACAAAAATTGGATAGGTCAACATCTTATCAATAACTATAAAAAGTTCCTCATATTACTTCAAGAAAGAAAAAAACATTTTCTTTACATTCTACACTTCAATAGCAGTAATCAACTGATCGTAACGCTGAATATTTCAAAGGCTTGTCAATAAAAAAATTTTTCTTATCATGTGCATATATGACCGACCTATACAATACATGTGATAATTGTATGAATATGTTTACAACGAAATCTATACAGATTTGATTGCCAAAAAAAAACAATCGATCACCTAGAACAAAATTTTTATTTCATGCATATACTGACATTTACATATTTATAACATGACACATCTGAATAAATAAAAATTGTTCTCATACCATGCCTGCTAATTTTCCAGTTAAAGCTGATGAAGATGTTGAAGATTTAACAGCTCCTTATCATGAACTTGAAGCATTTGATTCCATATGGGATGCATTAAGATGGAAGCATGTATGCAAGAGAGTACCTATATGCTTCAAAAAAACTTTATACAATCGATATATGTTAGCTAATTTGGTTTATTTGAGTTATACGATTGCACTTCTAGTCATTGATTTTTATCCAGATTTTAATTCAAACTCTTCTGATATATCTACAACAACAACAACAGAACAATCGAATGATACAATATCAATTCTTGATCAACCTGTAATTATAAATGAATATGTTAATCGACTTTATATCGGTAAACCATTATTCTTTATATTCATTGAAGCAAAACAGTGTTTTATTTTTTCTTTTGGTTTTTTATCTGAAGGTCTCGCTGTAGTCAATATTTTAGTAGCTTTTCTGTATATCATAGCATGGCGTGGTCGATCATGGTTTGATGTTGTTTTAATTCCAGAATATTTAAATCATGTACAAGCTGGACTTTATCTCTGGTCAGCATCATGGTATTCAAAACAAACTACTCTTGGTGGTTATTATACTGTGGCTGTACATCGAATTGAGTTAGTTGCATCATGTACTGAAATATGTGCTGCTATAGGCTGGTAAACTTTATTAATATAAATAAATAAAAAACATTGCAGATACTAATAGGATGATTTCATGGTATATGACATATACACGTACAATAGGTCGTGGTTTTACTTTTGATGATCCTGATACAATGGGTTATTTAACAACAACAACTAACACATTGTTATATCTTGTGTATAATATTCAAATTAATATTTATCCTGAGCAATATGGAACTAATCAATTATATATCTATGCGGATGTCCTTGGTTTTATTGGTTCTGTTTATTATATACTCGGTACTTTACGTGATGAGAATTGGTTTTGGTTTCTTCCATTAGCTGGGCAATATGGTATAGCAGCAGGTAGAATTCAGATAGAAACACGAGTTTTACCACAATTTGGACGTCCTGAAATATTGTTTACGGATGTATGTAGACGGAGAAGAGAAAAAACCAAAGATAAGAAAGGAAATGAGAACAATGCGAACATGGATGTGACAGAATTTTTTTAATAGCCATGTTTTAGATTGATTTTAAACAAAGAATATATTTTTTTTCTAAATAAATACTGAATCTAGTCTAAAATAATTGATAATTCGGTGAGTGAATTATATTTTTCAAAAAATAATTCGTTATGGAAGATGCTTAAAAAGTTGTCTATTTTCTGATTGAAATCAGATCGTTCATTTCTAAGATCATGTGAGAATCGTTAATCTTTATTTTCTTTTTATAATATGAAATCATTGGTACTGATTTTTATTCCAAATCAACCATTCTTATTGCTTGAATCTTGTAATCTGATGGAATAACATCACAAAAAATGTAACTTTGTATCTTTTACATAGAATAAATTATTGAAAAGTAACTGTGCTTTAAGAATGAAGTTCGTATTGTTTTATGGGTTGGTATAAAAAACAAAATAATTCGAGGAAATCTAATTTTCATGTTACTAACTATGAATGGTAAAAAAGTAACCTAAGGCATCATGAAAAATGGTGCTTTCACATCTGTGATCAAGAAATTTTAAAAAAACATTCTACAAATAGATTATATACGTCGTAGTATATGTCGATCTGATAAACATCAGATTAATCAGGTGGTGTAATTAAATGAAAAAAAAAAGGATTTTCTACGAATCTCTAGCTTCTTTAAGTTTCTACATAATTAGTTTTTATGACTAGGTCAAGAGCAGCCCAGCATAACGACAGTTATTACTATAATATTTTTGTAAATATTCTAATCATTGATAGTTTCATAATCTATATAAAGCTTCATATTTGAATTGGTGTGACGGGCGTAGGTGTCCCTCTTTTTCCACCTACGACCAAACCCACACCCACACCTTACGATTCTTCAATATTTAAAAAAATTTAACAGAAACGGCTTCGTCCGAAAAACGCGGTGATCATCAATCTAAAGGAGATAATGACTGTTTCATTATCTCATCGGAATCATCGTAAGCGTTGTGTGAAGCTATTATATATCGGCATGAACACGTATAGGTCACCTTCGTGTGAGGAACGTTTAAAAACACAAAGTGAGGAATACTGTCTCAATAGTCAGAAGTATGCTATCAACAGATAACCAAACCTGTTGCAAGCTATACGAGGAGTGATTCAAACTTCACCTTTTGATCTGACAGGTGTTGGATAAGAGTTTTATTGACTAATTGCGTCAAAAAAGCATAATTTTTCACTTCTTCACATTGCATTTTTGTCTGACAATAGTTAGATATTCTTATGAGATTCCATTGCGAGAATAAAACTAACACACGGGAGAGATAAAACTGTCTTTGTACCATTCATGTATCAGAAAAAAGATGAGTTTTATCATTATAGTTTGAAATGATAAATTCGCAAATCTTTCCCTGTCCAACTTCAGAAAAAGATGACATTCCGAAAGAAAGTGAAATTCCCTAATGGTCATTATTTTTTGAACAAATCTGCTGCGGTTAAAGAGAAATGGGTAAGATTTTTACTGGATATAGATCTAAGTGAGCTTTATTGGAGATAAAAATTTCAGGTAATTGACTTATATGAGGGTGGGTGTGAGTTAGAGCCCGGTGGTTCCAAACTTGGAACCTAGAAACAAAATAGGAACTGATTTTTCCAGTTTCTCCTATCCGGAACCAAAACTGTGAAAAAAAGAGAATGGCACCGGAACCGTTGAAGCCGAAAATTGTTTGACCGTCTGAATCATCCAGATTTCTATATTGTTCTATGCTTTCTCAAGAAAAACATTTTCATCCATTCACTACACAGAATCTTGCCTGTAACGCAAAACTTTATACAAAATAACTTATTCACTCTTACATATAGTAGGAATGAGCATGTATACATGGGCAAACCCATCGATTGATTATGCTTTCATAAGGACTCAAACTCACAAAAAATATAGAAAACTGTCGCTACAATCGAAGCTAGACTATTAATACATTATTGGGACGTTATGAATCCTTAGTTAATTAACTGAGAAGTGGCAATAAGTTCCATTTTCCTAACATCATCCATCTCAAAATTAGAGTAATTGACTAATTTCATGAAAAAGAATAACTCTGTAAATTGTTACATTTGTGCGTTTGTTGACAGATGGGCAGAAGGTGTAATATCATATCTTTAAGACAATAGAAGTGAGTTACGTAAACGATACAATCTTTCTCTATATTTCTCCAGGATCAGAAAAATAGCTTTCTGTTATTATTACCTGAATTTTTTTACATTCTGAAATCTTCTTCATTAACACGTCAAAAAAAGATAAAGTTTCATAATCACTGGTATTTTTAGCTTTTTTGTTCGATGCAGTTCTGTTTCTTAGGAGATGAGCCACTAATGTGTGGGTGTGGATGAGTGTACGCATGGGTTCATCTGATCTCTACCAACACCCAAATCCACACCCACGTCCATACCCACCACCCACACCCACTCACACCCACACCCACACCCACACACACCCCACACCCACACACCCACACCCACACCCACACACACCCCACACCCACACACCCACACCCTCAAGTGCCTCCGTACGGTGTTAGGTGTATCTTTGGGCAACAGAATGAGAAGTAATTTGATTCTTCAGTTGACTGACCAGCCATCCTTAGAAAAAATTTTGAGAAGAAATAGGTTAAGGTAGTTTGGTCATGTTAATCGAATGAATAATGAACAAGATCATCCGATGTTGCCAAAAAAGTCCTCTTTTCTTCGTTTGTAGGTGTTAAGAGACCTCCACATGGTGTCAAGTTAAGATTGCGAGACAAAATTGTAAAGGATCTCATAATAAATAATATTAAAAATTGGAGACGTGAAGTTCAGAATAAGGAGCAATGGCGTGAAATAATTAATCAAGAAGTTAAGTCCATGAAGACACGATCTAATGCAACACATATATGTGAAAATAAAGAAACAGCACTCAAACGTCGGATCGGTGAAGGACTTCTTTACTACAACAAAAATAAGAATGCTTCTACAATTTCAACAATCAATGATGATGCCAACTGCTCACAATGTGGACAATTTTTTTAAAAATAAACGAGGTTTGAATATATATAAAAGTAGCTGCACACAACAACGAGTTGCACATTCATCAGATGATACTACAACTGAAATCATTCACCAACGAACTACATTAACATCAGCAGATCAAAATACTACTTCAAGAAAAAGAAAAATAGCTGATTTACTAACAAGAGCTACCAAAAATGAACACTTCTGTCCAAATAAAAATTGCGACAAACTATTAGAACCACACGAAGTCACAATGCATATTAAATCATGCGCGAAAGCATGATTACAAAAACAAGGTTTTCAGGTTTGATGATCACAACTATGAGTCTAGACTACTGTATTTTATGATGACTGCCACTGAAACTGGATCCACTTGTAGTCTAGAGGTGACAAACTGATGGATGCCATGGTAAGTTTCTCACTCAGAAACTCATCTCTCTATTTTATGATTCAAAGTAATTCTGGTTTATTACTTTTTTGTTTATCTTTCTTGTTTTGTGTATGTGTAAATGTCTCTTGTTATCATGTTAGTTGTCTTATTTTTTAAAATTTTTGTCTTTGTTCGGTGTACCTATATGTTTTTGTTTTGTCCTTTGTGTTCATCGTCTGTTTGTTTTTCTCCTAAACTGGTTGTACCACTATTGGCTATCTATCTATCTATCTAAAGAACAATTTGCGTTCAAATCCCTGTGCTTTGTACAAAGCCCATGTCAAAAAACTAATTCTATGAGAAGTAGAAGAAAAATCTAAGTGTTTTTTTTTCAATTACTGGATTAAGTTTCATTGTTCGAGTGTTTGACTTCTATTTCTATCGAAATATCCTTGTAAGCTGACATATGGTAACGGAGATCTACTCTACTGCTAGTTTGGTGAAGAGCGAAATGGAAGAACCATATCTTCTAGAAAAACTGACTGATTACTGAGAAGACATTCGTTTCATCGTGTGTGATTCAGATGGGGAGATAGCTATTGGTATGATATATAATGTTAAAAAAAGCTCTTTCATTCTAGTAAATATACAAGGGAGAAAATAGTAGTGAAGTAATTCTTGTGCATGTTAATATTTCCGTATATCATGAGACACTGATATTCAACTAACTAACTTCAAATGAGATAGGAAAAATTTCCTTTTGGAATACAGAAAAATGAAAAAAAAAACATTAATGTTAATTTTTCACAATTTTAATTGGCCTGTATCTATCATTATACTGAAACAGATAATAGTACCTGATTTTACCTAAAATCTGTGTTTTTCATGCTGAAAAAAGAAGATGTCGAGGCTGGGATTAAATTTGGTATTGATCGTTAGAAAATAGTAAGAAGCAGCGGAAGAGATATGGATGTAATTAAATCCATAGGTATTTTATTTGTTTACATTGAGTACATAATGAGCAAGGTCGGAAACAAAGAAATAGAAAAAGAGGCAGAAATAGAAAATAAGGAGGATAGAGTATCAAATTGATATAGGTACGGAAAACGTATTGATGCACATTTATATAGTCCGAAATAAGATGATAAACAACAGACAATTACTGAGAGAAAAGAAAACAATGGCGAGAATACGAAAGAAAAAGATTCGAATCATCAAACAAGGAGTTTAATCACGATGAAGTAGTGTATTTAACTAAATATAGCAGTGAAAAAGCCAAGACACCAGAAAGATAAAAAGAGTGAACAAAAAAATGTGAATATGGCAGTTTTAGCATCAGCACCACTACCACTAGTGGTGGTAGGATTTGAAGTAGTGGTAGTAGAGCTTGCAGTAGCAGTAGTAGGACTTGTAGTAGAACTTGCGGAAGCAGTAGTAGGACTTGTAGTAGAACTTGCGGAAGCAGTAGTAGGACTTGTAGTAGAACTTGCGGAAGCAGTAGTAGGACTTGTAGTAGTAGTAACAGGAGTCTGGCTGTACTGTACTTGGTAGATGCGATTATTTCCATCTTCAGTGAATAAAAGACTACCATCTTTTAGAACAAGCAATCCAACTGGACGTCCAAATGTGTCAGGTCCAGGCGGATACGTTAGAAATCCATACACAAAATCTTCATAGTAACCCATCGGTTCATTAGTGCTACTATTGAATGGAATAAAAATAATCTTATAACCGGTTCCATTATTTCTATTCCATGAACCATGAAATGCTGCAAAAGCACCATTATGATATCGATTTGGGAATTGATTATTTGTATAAAATCGCATATCAAGTGCAGCTGAATGAGCTTCAAAAAGAACATTTGGTGTTTTTGTTATTGATACTAAATCAGGTCGTTCGCTTGTTCCATTACTAAGACGTCGTCTGGGATCAGTCAAATTTGCACTCGTATAAGCAAATGGCCAACCATAAAAATCATTCTCTTCAATACGTGTAAAAAAATCAGGGACAAGATCATCACCAAGTTCATCTCTTTCTTGACATGTCACATATAAATGATTAGTAATTGGATGAAATGCTAAACCAACAGGATTTCTTAGACCATAAGCAAATGTTGTTTGATTACTACCATCGAGATTCACTTGTTGAACAGAAGCTCGAGGTAATGGATCAGCATCGACATTCGTTGCTGAACCAATTCCTACCAACACTCGATCACCACTGGGTGATATAACAACTGTTCTTGTAATATGTCCATTTGGATTATAAGTCATTACTATTTCTCCTGTACCGGTGATATTTTGACTTCCTGAAGTCCACAAATAACGTCGAGTAACATCTCTATTACCAACATAAAAGTATCCATTGACAAAAGCCATACTATATGGATAATTGAGTCCATTCGATGCATCAGCAAACGTAACACGTTCATCGGGATAACCATCACGATCATTATCTATTAGACAAGAAATTCGATTAGCATCCGGTTCACTAACGAGAATATCATTTGTAGGTGTATAAATAAGATAGCGCGGTGATGTGAGACCAATCATATATACCTTCACAGTGAATCCTTCAGGAACGTAGATGAGAGGATCTTCAGGTACAGAAATGATTCGAGCTTCTTTAGAAGCCGAGGGTGTAGCATACGGTGGTGGGAGATCATCAACAGTTAGGTGAATTGGTTGTGGAACAAAAGTAACATTTCTGCAATGTGCTTGATAAATTACAGCCCAAATCAAGAATGAAAAAACAAGTGACACGAACGATGAAAACATGTTTGTGATTGCGAAGTGATGGTCGTCGTCGGTTTTGTTCGTTCTGTCTTTAGCTAAACAGAATATTATCTACTTAGATGAAATGGATCAAAACGAAAGAATGAATGCAAATACAGTATAAAGCGTTAAGAAGATGACTCATGGTCATAATATATGCGTGGCGTCTTTTTCGTTCATTCTTCTCCATTCTTTAGCGAATATCTATACTATTTCAGCAGACAAGCAACGACCAAGTAGATATTTTCTGACGTGAGGAAAATACAAATTCTCACACAACAGAAAATAATTTTTGGAAGAAGAACAACTGGGAAAGCATTAACTTTCTTTAATTCACTTTTTCTCTCAAAAATATGAATCATTTTAGAAAGTTCAATTCTAGGCTTTCTATGCGTCAAAACAATGACTGTTTCCTAATTGTTCCGATGGGATAATGTAGTCTATAATGGAAAACTCACATTAATTCTTAAACAATGTATAATTGCTATTAGTATATGAGTGCAGATGTGAGTGTGTATAATTACGTGGTGTGCGTTATAAATAAATACCTAGTAGTAAACAATGCACTTTATCTGAGGCCGAAGATGCTAGAAGGCCTCGCTTCTATGTGAATATATATGTTATCTTGTTTCAACTATGAGAAAGCGTTTTCATGTTCTCATTATCACAATGGGGCATAGGTGGAGGACAGAGAAATGTTTTGTATTAAATATTTTCTTATCAATAGCTGAAACAATATGGTGATGATACTTTTTTTTTGGATGGTTCTTCGTAAAATTGCAAATAAAGAAAATGTCATAATTAGAAAAGTATCAATAAAAGTGATGCCTATACTAGCTTGAAACAGACGAAGAAATATTAGCAACGGATGAATCACTTTCGACTTCATCTTTTCTCCTAAATTGATCCCGATAACACGAAAGAAATATATTGTGAAACACACAGTTATACAAAGTATGTCGCCGCATGTATTCACGTATCAACCGAAATAGCTCATTGGTTGGTTCGCCTAACGGCTAGAATAAGCTTAGTCTATCTTGAGAAAGTTGCAAATCAATCTTGAAACCATTGTTAATCTCTTTCACTACAGTATTTTCATCCAAAATGAATGTTGCTTCTCTATAGGCTATCGACCATTCTCTATGCAATGGTGTTAGTCTTCCAGCATTTTGGAAGCACTAATATTGTCTTTTGGTTCGAACGCTTCCAATTCTGGAAAAGCTGAGAAGTCGCAGTAAATCTGTTCGAGACAAGAAGAATAGTCTTTAATAGTCCACTTATATTAGAGTTTGGAATGAAAAATTGATCAAGGTTTATTTATATTTGTTCCGACCTTGTAAGTTCTTTCATTCAGGACATGGATCCTAGGGATACAATTGCTCTTCATTTTTATTTCGAACAATTACACACCGTACAAACCACATGGCATCATAATAGAACAAAAAACGAAGGAAGAGAACACACATCTATACATATGTGCAGATATACTATTAAAACTCAATCAAGCAATGCATTATTATTTGCATTTTGAAGTTTGGAAAAACCAACAGCTGATTAGCGAAAAAAAGATACTTTTTTCCCTATTTACTTGTGGAATTTTTCCTGTGCAAGTGGAAGCCACCACTTAACTGCTACTGATGCAGACAAACTATCTCTTTTACACATGAACAGGAGGAGAATGCTATGCATTGATGATTCACACAATGCAACCAAATCGAGTTCACTTTCGCCCAAAAATGATGAAAGAGTTTATTGCGGCTACACGAGAGATTTCGAAGTTTCAGCTCTTGCGTTGATTATTGTGAACAAAAAACACTAATTATCATCAAATGAATTTGAACGCATTTAAGATTTTCTTTTTCTAGCCATCGATCTGTCATCTATAGCAAACAAGAGTTCAGTTAGAGATCAATCTTTTCTGTGTGATTCAGCCTTACAAACCTACTTGTCAAGGCAAAAAAAAACAAGCGAATCTGTTTTTCTGTCATACATCCATTAATTGATCTTGTAAAATTTTCCCGTTTTCATGACAGCGCTACGTGCAATGAACTAGGGTATGGGGTGTGCGTGGATATGGGTTGATGTGGGTGTGGATGTAAGTCCAGGTCAGTCATATACTCATACCCAAACCAATTGGTTCATGGCTGACATGTCTGTGTGTTTGTTTTTTCCTAATTGATGCTGGGACTTTGTTCCCTAACATTCTTTCATTTTTGAGTGGTTGCAGAGCAGTAGCGGGTTAGGATGATATAATGCACCATCTATCTGAAAAGATAAGTTAGAAAGATTGAGGCCTTTTCCTGAGAGAAGTGGTGAAAAATAGTATGATTTGTGGCGAATATTGGTGCTTGGCTGTAGTTTATTTGACTGCTGGTAATTATGAAATAAAAATAGTTCGAAAAATGTGTTTATGCGCGGCATTTTTAATCTTTTCTCAGATCGTCACTTTAATTGTAAAGGCAGGGGTGTATAGAAGTTACCACGACGCTTTTCGGCTGATGCTCAATCAGTCTCATCAGTTAACTTAGAATCCCTGGTTTGATTGGATGTGGGTGTGGGTGTGGTGGTGAGCGTGAGTATCGGTGTGCATGTGGGTGTGAATGTAGAAGACAAAGATAAACACCAGCATCCACCCACACCCAAACACACACCGGCACCCGGCTAGTATTTATTTGAGCAATAAATATATTGGAATGGGCAATGATTAAAATACGATTTAGCAATAACTTTTGAGCAATGAGAACATTTCATTTGAGTAATTTTCTGCTATTCAATATACCATATTTAATTCATTAAGTAACAGTAGTAATTTCATATTTTAGCAATAAAACAAAGAAGGGTGTGGGTGGGTGTGGGGTGTGGGTGTGGGTGTGGGTGTGGGTGTGGGTGTGGGTGTGGGTGTGTGGGTGTGGGTTTGTGTGTATGCATTAAGAGAAGATCAACCGATCCACACCCACACCCACCCACACCCACACCCACACCCGATTATCTAATTGAATATTACTACGTGTGAAATGAGCTTCATGAGAATTGTTTCGGCGTCTATAAATTGGATAACCATCTGTAGATACATCAGTTTCAGAGCAGAAGGCTTTAGGAAAATTTTTGGAGCAAGATCCATCAATCATACAAATTGAGTTAGGATTGAATCGACCACATGGTCCATGAATATTATGCGTTAAAATTACGTTATACAACTCGGGTTGTTCATGTCGATTCGGTAACTCAGCAGAGATAATATTATCAACGTCATCTGACGTTTTAATTTTGTCTTGATTAGACAGTGTGAATAAACAATGAGCATGAGAAAGGCCGCGTTTTTGATGCTCTATAACGTACACGTATGCCAAAATTTCTCCAAAAAATTTTCTTTTAACTATATCATCTAAAAATTCTTTTAGTTTTAAACGAAATACTCGAGTTACTAAATCTGGTCGATCTGATCAATTTTGAAAAGATTGAAGTTCAGATTTTATTTCTTCCCATTTAGGATTACACGTAAAAGTAATAAACAAATCAGGGCGGCCAAATTTTCGAACCATTGCCATATTATCCTGATATAATTTGGACATAAAATGCGGACCACCCACGAATGATGAAGGAAGAATAAATATATTACCAATACGGGCGTTATTATCCCGGCTCATGTTATTAACATGATCTAATAAATCTTTATACGATTCTACACGTAAAGTCTTTTGATTATTTCTGATATATGTCATTCGATTTGCTTCATAACGGGCATACACGTATACTAAATATTGTTGAAATAATTTTCCGCCATAGAACAAAGGATTGAAATGATTTCGGCGAATTCCAATTTTATTTAAATAAAATTCAAGTATCGTTACTTTATTTCGCTTTTCAGTGGCATGATCCATATTATGTGACAAATCTGTGGTCCATCCAAAATTACCATTTGGGAAGAAAAGTGGAAAAGTCATAGGATCGAGATGCTTAGAAAGCATGTTAATCCTTTTTAAAGTATTCGAGTCACTTGGCTGAACTGCCAAAAATCAAGTTGAGCCGGAATGTTACCATCACGGTTAGCTGCATAAACAATAGCAACATCATCTAAAGTTCGAGGTGCATTATAGACTCTTTGGTCATCATGAACATTTCGAGTGAAAATTAAAGATATCTTTTTCATGGAAGAACCGGTAGTTTTCGCGTTAGAGACTTCTTTTTCATAAATTTCCCGAAGTTTCCGATAGCAACTGGCATAAGGAGATACTTCATTTAAAACTGTATTTATGGTAATCATAATATCACGAAGACATTAGGCATTCGCTGGATTTGCCATTCGAATCTCAATAGAAGTGTCTGTATCGTAAACATATAATTCAATATACGACGATTGATTATTAAGCTTGTGAACTGAAATTGGATCTAGAGTAGTATCGGTTTTGATATTTTCTGAAGTACGGTGGTACACTTCACCAGATATTTTAAAAAAATATGGTCCATTTCCAGAAATGTCTACAACATTCGCGCCCATCGATGCGAAAGCGTTTGCGTTATTATACCGTCGAATAAACTCATGGAAGTTTTGACTTTTTGCATCAGTTCCTATAAAAAGATTTTTTAATGCAATGGGAAAATTTTCAGGTCCATTCTGAATCGAAAGATGAGATAATTTACCATTGTGACTGCACATACTTTTCAATTCATCTTTAAAATGAACCGCTTTACAGTGCTCGCATTCAATATTCAAAGGCCCAAGATCATGAGCAATTGGATAAAGAAAATTCGGAGACCCAAATTTTGCCGATTTAAAATGCCTTTCTGAAGTTCTTTGACATCTGTTATAGATTCGACCATTAATAGCTTCTCGATTTTCAGCATGATTTCTGCGTCTTTGTTCCAAAATTGTTTCACGATTTTCTGCATAATGTAATCTGTTTTGAGCTTTAATTTTTTTAGAATTTCTTTCACGATAGGTACTCATATATTCTTTTCGTTTTTGTTGCTTATCCGCCATTTTGGAAATTAGAAAAAAAAATTTAGCGATAGTTCAGAATTACTCAATTTTATTACAGAAATTATAATATGTAATACTTGCTATTACTTTAATTAAATAAATGTAATTTCTTTTTTTTTCTTTTTTTAAATTCTATTTTCTATTTCTATCTATTTATAATAAAGACCAAACTGCTGGTCGTAAATTAGTATGTAAATAAATAAACTATATGTACAGTAAAGAATAAACTGTTGATCGTCAGTGTATCAAATTTATAAATCAAAATATATAATAAGTTGAGGTTGTATAATAATGTGTTATTTTCGCGCGTGTAGAAAAAGAAAATGTAGAAAAAAAAATATATATAGATATAATATAGATGACATGACATATATATTTATATGTGTGTGGATAATGAATGAACATATACGACGTATAATACGTATATATGTCGTATCGAAGTTAGCATGTTTATCGAAGTTATAACTTCGATAAAATTTTTATCGAAGTTACAACTTCGATGCTTCCTCTTATCGAAGTTTAACTTCGATAGAATTTTTTTAT